GGTTTACGCAAGATATTTTCGTCAGAGTCTTCTTTCTCCCGAGCCCATTGAGCGGAAGAGCAATTCCCTGAACTCCAAAGTACGGTGGCCAGCTCCAAACATGCTATCTATGTAGCGACACTTCATGAAAATCTAAGCTAGTCTTCAAGCCGATGAACACGCCGACAGGTCTATAACCGGACGCTCCTTCCTCCAATCCTCGTCCACTGATCCTCTCCGACTTTCTGAAAATCCATGATCCTGTCAGGCCCACCAAATCGATTCTGAGTCGCTCTCCAGTCTCGATCAACAGCTGTCTCCGGCCTCCATCGAACAACGTCCTTTACCTCTTTCTGTAGTTTACTCTCTAGAGCATCAGCGATAAAGCCGCCAATTGTAGGCATTTGCATGGCGCCATTGCCGGAACCTCCCACAGCGACTAACAGCGAGGGGTGTTCAGGATGTCTATCGATCAAGAACGCACGGTCTGGGGTATCAGCGTCCCAGCAAATGCGCGCGAAAGACAGTGGTCGGTCCGCCAGATGTGGCATCGTATCCCGGAGAAAGTCTCGTGCGCGGGCTTCCGCTTCGAGCGGAATCTGATGCTTTGCGAAGGGAACACTCTTCTCCTGGCCCGGTCTGTCTGGGTCAGAGAGAAAGTTGCAGTAGCCCGGATGTTCGTCACAAATCTTGAGCTCGTGTTTGTCTTCATCAGGCTCCATGAAGAAGCCTTTGGCGATGTTGAACAACACGGGAAGGTTCCGGTATCGCTTGACCTCCTCTGGATCCATCTGAATATGACAGAGAGTCCACGCGGTAGGCCGAAGCTGCTTCTTGAAGTCTAGGAGACCGTCACTGCCAGCACCAGCCGAAAGAATAGTGCGATGGGCTCTGTGTACGCGGCCATCGGCGGTTCTGGCTCCAACTACATCGCTATCTTCGTATACTAACGATACGACATTCCCTTCCGGAGAGCCAGTGATGAATTTGACTCCCAGGCGCTTAGCCTCATTGAAAGCAGAGATCATGGCCTTTTTGGCGTGAATCCACCCAGCTCCAGACTTGTGCCACCAGCCTTTCCAGCCAGGGAAATCGCCTGTCAGTACGCCTGGCGGCATGGTCTGGCGGAAATCCTCCGCTGTCTCCAGCTTGACGAAGTTTGTTTCCGACGGTTCAACCTCGTCCTTCCGTATGTGGTCAATCAGAGCAGGCGTGTGGCCCGATACAATGAAGCCAGTTTCGTGAAAGTAAGGCTGGAAAACCGGGTCAGTTTTCCAGGCTTTTAGAGCAGCCCGCGTAAATGTCGAGAAGGCTGCGCTTCGGGGGTCGGATGAGCCATCTGTCTAACTGTTAGAAGACGGGACATCCTCTTCATATCTTAGTTTCTTCAGTCGTACCCTTGAGCTCGTTGTGCTCCATAATTTTATTGATGTCATTGCCTGCCGCGATGGGCGAAGGAACTGGATGAGGATCGAGAACTATGACATTTTTGTAGCCTCGACGAGCGAGATGTAGAGCAGTTGAGCAGCCCCATGTGCCTGCCCCAGTAATGAGAATGGAAGATTCGGTGGTCAAGTTCGAAGACGCCATAGTACCAGGTCAAGGCAGTGATTATACTAGCAACGCGAATGGAACGGACGTCAACGAGATATTCGTCTGCGACTGGGCGTGAAGCTGTATTTCAATGACAGAAATGCGGCACGCGAATCATGCCATATCAATTCAAAGCAGAGTGTCGGATCGTTCCGAGCTGTCTGCCTCAAGGGTGACGCTACTGACAGAGACCGTCTTATCTTGTTGTGGGTTTGTGGTTTTTCCCCACTTCGGATTCCTTGAAGCTGCACCGGCTGGACCTTCCTCGTCTCTTGGACGCATCCAGAAAGTCTGGGGTAATCATCCAAGATCGTCATGTCTCCGCATCTTTAATCAGACCCATAATGATGGATAAAGAGCCTTGGTCGATATACTTTATCTGAGGCTTATCGCCTGACCACCTCTCAATGAAGGTATTGGTCGAGCTCGCCGAATTATTGACCCCTGTTGCTTTGACATAGACGAGACAATGACATCGCGGGAAATTTCCTCGTCCCTCGGTCCGCGATACTGTATTCCATTGGACCTTGCTATCTCATTGTCGTTTGGAGCTTCCTCCTTTCAGTCACTTATCGTATCTTCCCCTCTCGTGAGGTCAACGGATATGACCCACAGCGCGGTTATCTCATTGCATCAATGCTGTGCTAGTGCCAATATCCCCTGGTCGCCTGCTATCGAATGGCATACCTTGGCAGGGTTTTCGTGAGGGGTATTGAGTGGTATCGAAGGTATTTGGGATCACAATCTCTTCCAATGAGAATGCCATTGGGAAACTACGTGCTGAACCGCTCGGCCCAAAGAGAGTTATTGTAAATCTATTCCCGAATGTATTATGCCCGTGAAAATATTTAAAGGACACGATTTCCTGTGATGATCGATAGTGGAAGCAAGTCTTTTGTGGATATCAATTTGACACATGATGGCTCGTTGGGATGATGTTTACACAGATGTCCCAGGAACTGTATACCTGGTCGACGGTAATAACACCCTTTCAAATGAGACACGGTGGTCAACTAATCTTGTACAGCCTCCGCAGCTTTAACGGGTGCTGCCCATGCAGGGCGGGATATTCTTCTGATTCCGCAGCCTTCATCCTCCCCTGCTGATCCTCTGGTGAGTGGAGTTTGAGTTGTCTCATGACTCTAGGTCTGGTACTGATGCCTTGATTAGAACTGGTCTAGAAGCAAGAAATACTGGACTCTCTTTCTTATATCTGCCTATGCGTGCGTTAACTCCTTTGGAGAAAACAACTGGGGTGCGGCATGGACAACCATAGCCGAGGAGACTGGAGTTACTCTGGAGAACATGAACGGGGGTTCAGCCCTCAACTACCTCTTGCTTGGATTCTTCAATGTGATCTGGATCCCCACGGCAATGAAGCTCGGACGAAAGATTGTTTACATTCTGAGTTTGCTCTTCGTTCTCGGCGGCGGTATTTGGGGTGCGTTCTTCGAAGGCACGGCCCAATACTACGCTATGTCTGCTATCGGTGGCATTGGAACGGCCGCATATCAGGCTCTTATTCAATTAACGGTTTGCATTGAGTCGTTCTTAATTAGGATCCTTCTGCTGACGGACCACCCCAGATCTTCGATCTTTTCTTTACACACGAGCGCGGTAGAATGGTGGCCATCTACATTTTCTTCCAGCAGCTGGGCTCTATCTTGGGCCTGATCCTGGGTGGGTATATCACTGATGGTATCGGCTGGAGATGGAGCCAGCCTATTGTTGCGATTGCATGCGTGAGCCTCGACCGTCTTAATCTTGACTGCGATCTAGGAGCTGACTCTCATCAGGGGATTTTGATCTTACTATTCATCTTCACGTTCGATGATACCATGTTCCCGAGATACCGATTCGGGAACAGAGGCCCTTCAGCTGCGAAGATTGAGACTTGCACCACACAGGATGACGCACAAGCCACGCCTGAAAAGGCTCAGAAGCTCGAACCGTCTACGTCTGTCGCTGTAAGCCATGGCGCTGGTGAAGTCGACATTCCTCGTCGGAGCTATCGCCAGAAAGTCGCCCTGATCCACTACCTTGAAGATGACCAGACGACTTGGTACCAATACTTCCGGCGTCCCTTCTACCTCTTTGCGTTTCCAAACATTGTGCTGGCCGGCATTCAATTCGCCTTTGGCTGTACAGCCGGTATCGTCTCTTTCAATACCATCTCGGAGATCATGACGGGGCCACCCTACAACTGGAGTGCAGGCTCAGTAGGCCTATTATTCCTAGCTGCTCTTGTCGGTAACTTTATCGGGTAAGCATACTAACAATCTCTTCCAACAAGGGAGTCTTGACAGTTTCAATCTAACAGTGAACTAGCATGGGCATCGGATCCTTCTCAGACTGGATCGTCCTCTTCCTAGCCCGTCGGAACAAAGGCTATAAAGAGCCCGAGATGCGTCTCTGGGCCTATATCCTCCCATTTATTCTCGGCGCTGTAGGCTACTTCACCTACGGCTGGGGCGCCACGKCCGGTGACCACTGGATGTCGATCGCCGTCGGGCTCTGCTGCATGATCGCACAGCAAGTCTCGGCGACAAGTATCGCGACCGCATATGCAATGGAGTGCTTCGACCGGGTAGGTCTCACCTTTAAAATACTTCCCAAACCCTCGTTATGGCCCCACGTGAGACAAGTATCGTCTGACAACCTCAGATTTCCGGAGAACTCGTCATCGTCCTCGCCATTTGTTCCTCCTGCATCAACTTCGCCATTTCATTCTCGGTGCAGCATTTCATCGACGCAACGAATTACGGCTGGCCGTTTACATTCTTTGGCATCTGGGTGCTTTTGTCCATGCTTATGGCTGGACCGATGTTGATCTGGGGGAAGAGCTGGAGACGGAGGTGCAAGGGGCGTTATGAGAAATTCCTTGCTGAGACGGGACGCTCAATTTCGTAGGTATTTGCTCGGGTTGTCTGCGTTTCAAAGATCAGGTATGAGCTGTTATTTGGGTATTGAGAGGATGGTGTAATCGTATCCCTTCAGTTGCTGAATCCTGTTTCTGTTGTATCTACTGAACCACAGAGAATCTGTATATGGATTGTCGGAATATCAAATTCCAGCCCAAGGCTCATGTCCCCTTGCAGCTACCAATAGTCGATCGTGATCTAAATCTATCATGTTTAAATTCGCGACTCCGCTTCAGAGACCCATATACTCGACCTCTTGTTGGGATTATTTTATTCATACGCTAGTTGAACAATTGCTGGGCGTATCACGAGAACGAACACAATGCGCCAGTCACCATGCTTCAGAGCCGGTAAAATATTGGCCCAGAAACCCCATCAGCTTCTGACTGCTCGAGAACGGGGAATCGCAAGGAAATGCAATGAGCATCACCGCTTTTGTGCGCAACTGAAAGGAAAGGATTACATAAAATCATGAGTCATTGACCGATGAACCATGACGCCGCTGCTTTACGAGAAGAACTTCCGAGCGGCGGCCTTCTCCTTGGCTTCACGGTCCTTGATCGCCTTCTTGACCTTGGCGATCTCGTTAAGAATGCCAGCGTCACCGGGGGCCAGCTTCAAAGCCTCCTGGAGATCCTTCAGAGCCTCATCTTCCTCCTTCAGGCCACTGTAGGCGACAGCGCGGCGGTAGTAGGCCTTGGCTTTATCTGCTTCCTTGGCGTTGGCGGCGTCGGCGACTTCAAGGGCGTAGGTAGCCCAGTTCTGGGCATTCTTGTATTGACCAAGCTTGTTCGCGAGTAGGGACGAGTTGGAGTGAAGAGTGAAGCGAAGAGATTTCATCTGAGGCTCGAGGTCCTTGGGATCGTTCTCATCGGGATCAGGAAATTCGTTCAGGTAGCGCAGACCCTTCTGGTACTTGTCAAGACCAAGGGCAAGGTCGCCGCTCTTGAAAGCAGTGTTGCCAAAGTTCTTTAGCTCGGAAGCGATCTTGAAGCAGACCTGAGCGTTGAGCTCCTCGCCCTGGTGATCATCGGGGTAGTCCTCGTAGGGGTCTCCCGTGGCGTCGGCAACCTGCTTGGTGGCGTTCTCGTAGTCGTCGCCAGTAAGCTCACCGCAGTCAACGATGGTCACGTCGGCGGTAGGTTTGTCGGCTTGGGTAGGCATGTTCTCGATCTTGCGAACAATACTCTTTCCGTTGATCACTTCACCGAAGACCACGTGCTTGCCGTCTAGGTGGGGGGTCGGGACAGTGGTGATGAAAAACTGGCTGCCATTCGTCCCGGGACCAGAGTTGGCCATCGAGAGGAGGAAAGGTCTGTCGTGCTTGAGCTCGAAGTTCTCGTCGGGGAATTTCTCGCCGTAAATGGATTCACCACCAGTTCCATTGAAATTGGTAAAGTCACCACCCTGGATCATAAACTGCTTGATCACACGGTGGAAAATGGATCCTAAGCGCGCGCAACCGTGAGACTCTGAATCGCACCTTGAAGAGATAGGATGAAGGTCGTACCCTTGTAGCTCAGTGGTTTTCCTTGCTTTCCCATGCCCTTCTCTCCTGTGCAAAGGGCACGAAAATTCTCTGCGGTCTTGGGAACGACTGGGGGTCCGTTAGTATCTCAGCGACGAAAACTGGAAACACGTTCTGTACCATCATTGAACTGCGATTACACAGTCAAACATTAGCTGAGTGACCCAATTGACGAAAAAGAGACTGGTAATCTCACCAATTCAAGCGCAACACGGCCGACCTTCTGGTTGCCAATCTGAATGTCAAAGTAGACGCGAGGACGACCTGCGATCACACCAGATCAGTAACCCCTCATCCCGAGGTCGAGAACCCCACACTAGACGGGGCAGTACGTACGCTGAGTCTCAGCCATGATTGCAAGCTAGAAGTAGGGCAATAATGAATGAATATGCCGAGAGATGACTAGGAAAGATCAACAGTGGAGAGAGCGAAAGTGTTGTGTCAGAAAGTGAGAGGAGTTAGTGAGGAGAAGCTGAGGAATTAACGGACAAAGTGGGCTGGACCAGCCCTTTTTGCGATGCTTCAAGAAGCTTCCATCAACTCCGCACTCATTCAGTCTGCGGGCAGTAACGAACAATATAAGACCACTTCCAATTTTAGATGCATGGAGGGTCCATTGAGGTTCATTCTGGAAAGGAACTAGCCCAAATCATTACGTTATGTTCAATTTGTGAATCTATCTAATATTTACACCCGAACCCAAGCAACCAAACACCTTTTCAGCATACAGTATGTTAGGTCATTATTCCAGCAGTGATGCTGGTAGTTCAAACTCAATGGTTTGCGTCTCCCCGTCTTTCCGTTCGCCTTGCGGCTTATTCTGTCCCTCCCCGGGCTTTTTCTCCTTCGCCAGTTTGGTGTTGATCTCGATTGTGACCTAAAGTTGACCCTCATCGTCAGTACGGCTTGACAGACTTAATCGGAGACAAGGCACGAGGAGGAGCAAAAGCTGACCGCCGCATCCTCACTGCGGTAATCTACACCCACCGGCCCATCATTCTTCAGTTCGACATCCATCATGGCCTGGAAGACGCCGTTGTGGACCCGGTCGGGTTTGTACGCTTCGCGCAGCCGGCGGAAGAAGTAATCGTATAGTTTCCGTGCTGTCTCCGCGTCGGCTGCATCGTGGAAGTCGGGTTTGCTGCCTTTCTTCAATTGACCGTAGAGCGTAAATTGTGATACTGTGTCAAGTGTCAAAGGGCGCATTCGAGGATCTCTAGACGGCCAAACCCACCACAGAGCACCTCTCCCTCAATGTCTTGCACGTTCCTTTTCCACTGAATGGGAAAAACATGGTTAGCTTCTGGTACGCCCTGCCCGGGGTATAGGCTACTCACTTGGCCGCCTTCTTCGGCAGGCCATAATTTGGCCTTCAATATCCGCTGAATGAGAGTATCTGCGTCCTTTTCGGTATCCTCCTTGCCTACACCGGCAAGGACAAGCAATCCGCGGCCGATTGACGAGACCAGTTTCTCGTCTACCGTGACCGACGCAGATTTCACTCTCTGGATGACCGCTACTCATGGATTAGCGGAGAGGGACTATGCGGAGGGAGCTAGGCGCACCTTTCATGTCGAAGTATCTCGCGGAGGATTCGCTCCGAATCCCAAAAAAGATATATTCAATGGAAAATCTAACTAGTCCAGACGATTGTTAGATTCTATTGTCAAAGCGATAAAATGGCCTTTATGAGGCATCACAGGCTATGCATCAGAATAAAGACGCATCGGGAAATAGCCGGGAACGGAGATGACATACCTAGTTCAAAAGGCACAACAGGGATATCATCAGTTCCTAGGACCAAGCTCTTATCAAATTTTCTTTGATACAGAGCAGTAGAATATTCAACCCATAAAAGAATCAGCGTAGGGACATTCACGTAGAGTAAGTAGATGGCGATAACAGTAGTTTCGCCGCCTCCGCCTTCGATAACCCTCCCGCACATATGCTTGCTGCCCGCCAAACTCACCGCCTTCACCAGGTTCTTGACAACTCCGACAAGCACCAGGAGATTCATTAACATTCCCAGCCTTTTCTGGCATCATCTCCCAGCGCGTCTACTTTCGCATTGTCGCCCAACACCCTTCTCCTCCGTCCCACTGGAACCGCAGCTTCCAACCCGTCGATCACCTTTCCGTATCTCCCTAAAACTCCGAAAATTCCCTTTCTTCCCACGGCGATCTGTTCATGTGAACAGCAGCCATGACGTCCCGCAAAACACAGCAAGAGATCGACAAGACCTTCAAGAAGGTCGCAGAAGGCATACAGACATTTGAGGGGATCTATGAGAAGATCCGCTCAACATCGAATCCTACCCAGCGAGATAAGCTGGAGGAGAACCTGAAACGAGAGATCAAGAAGCTGCAGCGATTCCGCGACCAGATCAAGTCATGGGCTTCGGGTAATGAGGTCAAAGATAAAGGACCGCTGCTTGAGCAGCGCAGAGCAATCGAAACTGTGGGCCAACAATTCCAAACCGACTGACACCGCCTTTCCGGGACATGGGAGAAAGCTAACAGAGGTTGCAGTGTATGGAGCAGTTCAAAGCCGTGGAAAAGGAGATGAAGACCAAGGCGTATTCCAAAGAAGGCCTTTCCGCTGCGTCGCGACTCGATCCCAAAGAAAAAGAAAAACTCGAAGCCTGCGACTTCCTATCGACCTGCGTGGACGAACTTCAACTGAAGATTGAGGCGATGGAGGCCGAAGAGGAGACCCTTCACGTGCAGATGAAGAAGGGCAAGAAGGATATCACCAAGACAAATCGTTTATCGGACCTCTCACGGATACTGGAGCGACATAAGTGGCACGTCAACAAACTTGAGTTGCTGCTACGAGCGCTTCAGAACGGCGCGGTCGAAACCAGCCAGGTGGTGGATCTGAAGGAGAGTATCAAGTACTACGTGGATGATGGACACAACATCGATTACTGCGGAGAAGACGAGACGCTCTATGACGATCTCAATCTGGGCGAAGACGCCGAGGCGCAGTTTGGAATGGTTGGAGACAACGATCGCGTTTCGTCGCAGGACGCACAATCGATCCAGGAGGACGAGCCGGAAGTGAAGGCGAAATCGTCGAAAGCTGACGCTAGTGGGCTCCGCCGGCCATCAGCGCAGATGAAGTCACCTTTGCCAGTTCTCGCAACACTTCACCCTCCAACACCCAACAACGCCACTTCTGTCATGAAACCCGCTCCTCCTCCAACTCGTCCCCCTGGTGAGACTCTCAAATACGCATCAGCAGCGGCTGCCGCAGCTGCCAGCGACAAAAACGGTGTCGGTATTGCCCCTCTGCCCCCACCGCCTGGTACGAGCCCTGCCTACACCGCCGCCATTCCAGTCTCGAGAGCGTCATCCACTGCGTCGCCAGTTGTGTCCTCGGTCCAACCAGTATCGAAAGCGACAGCGACCGTCACCGAAGAGCCTGGTGGACACAGTCGGTCCAAGACTCCAGCTCTCAGCCCCAGCGTCGCAGGGACGCCCGCAGCGGCCAGTGCTTCGAATACGATGCCTTCTACCCCAGCGATGGATAAGGCGAACGCCGCAGCCGCCAAGGAACAACCTGCGACGGCCAACGGTGAGACAGGCAAGGAAGATGAGCAGCGCGACGAGTCCATCTACCATCTGCCTCCAGGGCTGCAGGATTTGATCCAGTCGTTTGAGATCACCAAGACCCGCGCGGCGAACAGTGCTACAAGCTCGTCACCATCGGTTCAGCGGCTGCTCGCAGCATCACTGGCGACGTGCCCGGAGCCTGCCGATGCAGAGAAGCCCCGTCATTACCGACCCTCGAATCCTTACAACACCCCTCTCTACTACCCGCAAGAACCACTCGCCATATTCGATGATCCTCGTCTGTATGACACCGGACGGATAGATACCGATACGCTTTTCTACTTGTTCTACTACCGTCAGGGAAGCTACCAGCAGTACCTGGCGGCTAAGGCGCTCAAGAACCAGAGCTGGCGCTTCCATAAACAGTACCAGACTTGGTTCCAACGCCATGAGGAGCCGAAAAACATCACCGAGGACTATGAACAGGGTACATATCGGTTCTTCGATTACGAGAGTACCTGGTAAGCGTTTCTTTCTTTTCTTTTCTTTTCTTTTCCATGCAACAAACTAATCGAGACGCAGGATGAACCGGCGCAAGGCGGATTTCAAATTTATCTACAAGTATCTGGAGGATGAATTATAAGAAGTGTATCTTGGGTGCATATGGGGCGGGCTTTCCTTTTTCTGCTGGACAGGTGGCGAACAGGGATATTTTGATAGGTTCATCTTCATCTCCATCATCATCTTTGATACTTGTGGTGGTCTTGAATGTCCGCATTAGGCTGGTTGGGTTTTGACTGGTGATGGCGGGAATATGTGATATTCACTTCATTTATTTCCTGCCACTGTTTTTCCCCTCCTTGTCTGTTTCTTTTTCCTTCTCATAGTTCTTCTATGGTGTCATCTGTGAATGAGTAAATGAATGGGACAGCAGAACATGGGAGTTCTGCCTATGCTACATTCTTTTCCTAGGTTGGCTGATCCAGCAAAAGTAAGAAACAGCACAACTAAAGATGGTGAGGAGAACAAAGCTGCAAGGCTAGGTTCACCAAACAAGGTTTGCCCTTCCGTCAGAGCTTAAGATGAATCAATAGCTCCTCTGGGCTGTGAAGCAAGCAGATGACACCCTGGCAGGACCTGGCTGAAGCTTGCTCGCTGGTCCCTATCATAATTCCCCTAATCAAGATAAACGTTTTCCCTGCGTCACACGAGCGAGGACGGACTATCGTAGACAGGAATATAGTACATCTTTGCCCCGGTTGTCAAAAAGGACAACTGGCTGACGCAAGCCTCTATCCGCCTCACTCGACGACTCCTCCTCGTATTCTCCCGTGCAAAACGACCGTAGTTTGCATCCTTACTCACAGCAATCGGAGGTGCGGGATTTTTGAACCTGGATCATCATGATCATGGAGGAGCAGCTCGATGCATCAGATGTACGCCCGGAAGCCTTGCCAATCGCCTAGTCCTCAATGGGCTAAGTCAGACGCTAAAGTAGCCGGGGGCTGTGCGGTTGTGATGTCCCTTTGGCTTCTTCAAAGGCCATTCTCAAAGTCCAAGCCCCGAGCCCAAGGCCAAGCGATCAATTGCAACCGGCTTTTCTTGGCGAAGTGCGACTGTGTATCATTGGACAGATGGGTGATGATTCCTTGCATAGTGGACTTGGACGGGAACAAGTCCACAAGGCTGTCGAATCGCTGATTTACTGCGAGTGGGCTGTGGAGTAGGAACAACTGTTCTTGGGCCACTCGCTGGACTAGATAGACTGTAGTCTAGTACGTCAAGCAGACTGATGATTGACATTGTTTCTCCCCGGAGAATGTGCCGACTGCCGAGTGAACTGAATTGATTCAGCGACTGTGATCTCATCGTAGCAGAGAATATAATTACTGAGTACACTAAGTGAGCAGGTTGTTGCCTGAGCGTCCGCTCGGGAACACATGACTCGACAATCCGTACTTTTGCCATCTCTGGAGTCTCGTCCACCCGGGGTACTCCGTACTTCCTCTCAGGCTGTCTTTGCGGGGATTTTACCATTTGTCGCCCTTTTTCTAAGCTCACTCTGATATACTTTTGTCTAAGGGCCGACTAGTATCAGTGCCTTCCCGGTGAGCCTCTCAGCGAATCAAGATCACCCAATGTCGATTCCTTCATCGCAGATGATCCGCAAGTCAAACCTACCCAGTAAACAAGGCAATCAACTTCCGAGAATGGGCAGATTGTACGAACTACGGAGTATGAGTCTATCTCCAAAGCCTCGCGGCCAAACAGAAAGTCAGCAGCGGTTCCACAGTGCATTCATGTGGAGAAGGGGGAGTGAATGAGTGCATACCCTCTATCTAGAGTGGTAGTCAGTAGAACGATGATGTTGGCATTATATGATCACACCTATCATCGTTCTCATCGTGTTCCCGACTGCAGACGGATGGTGTGCGCTATTCATCCCGGTCCACTGTCTCCAATCACAACTGTCAATCCCAGCGCAGGGGGAATCCCAAGAAGCCCCTCGTTTGACGCTAGAAGGGCCAAAGAAGTTTCCATTGTTCCCCGAGTCTTCTGGCGCCAACGCTAAGCAGGGTTCTTGCCTGGTGATGATCGACCGCTTCACTCTCCCGCAGCACACCCTCCAATCACGGTCCCGCTCGAACGGCTCGATAGTGGCTGAGTGTCGCGATGATAAAACTAGCAGATTAGCCAAATAACTTGGTCAGCTTGGTTCATTGGAAACCGACTCTCAGGCCGTCTCTCCTCTTGTCTTCGCTTACCAATGTCATCCATTGGGTCAAATCAGGTACCTTGATTCCTCGTTCAGGTGACGTCGCCCATGACTGGTTTGAACTCATTTAAAGTCGTTGTATATCCCGCCGCGATGTCGGCTAGGCTATCCATTGGGAGAAATCCAGAACTTGATGCACGTGCGACCAGTTGATTTCATGGCTGCCGCGTTCTGCTTCCTGCCGTCTTAATTATTATTATAAGAACTTCCAGACTCTTTCCGTTCGTTCTTCTTCGTCTACACCTAGACACTTCAATTATCATGTACTCTCAAATGAACGACAGATTCTACCCTCGGTTCACAGTGGTAGGTATAAAGTKAACTCTTCTACTACAATAGTTCAAACTAACTAGTTGTTCTCCCAGAACTCAACTTATCCTCCATCCACCCCAATGGAGCAATCTCCAAGCCCACACTCTGCTCAGTCCTTCAGCTTTGCAGACGTCTTCCCCTCAGGCGGAAACGAGCTCGAAATCCCTCTCAGTCAACCTTTCGACTCGGTCTACGAGTTCTCGCCACCAAGTCCCTATAACACCACAAGCGTCCAAGACCTCTACGGTCTGAACACATCCTACAGCGTCCCCATCCCATCCTACTCCTCGTCCTACGAGACCCAGTTTGCATTCACTCCGAGCCTCGAAGAATCGTTGCTGGCACAATACTCGCTCAGCACCAGCGCGTCCTCGT